TGAGGATATGAAAAAGGACCAATTAGAAATTAAGCATACACTGACTGAAATAAAAAATATTATACAGAGACCCAACAGCAGACTAGAGGATCCCAAGAATCAAGTCAAAGATTTGAAATACGAAGAAGCAAAAAACACCCAACCGGAAGAACAAAAAGAAAAAAGAATCCAAAAATATAAAGATAGTGTAATGAGCCTCTGGGACAACTTCAAGCGTACCAACATCCAAATTATAGGGGTGCCAGAAGAAGAGAAATAACAAGATATTGAAAACCTATTTGAAGAAATAATGACAGAAAACTTCCCCTACCTGGTGAAAGAAATAGACTTACAAGTCCAGGATGCTCAGAGAACCCCAAACAAAAGGAATCCAAAGAGGACCACACCAAGACACATCATAATCAAAATGCCAAGAGCAAAAGACAAAGAGAGAATCTTAAAAGCAACAAGAGAAAAACAGTTACCTACAAGGGAGTACCCATATGACTGTCAGCTGATTTCTCAATAGAAACTATGCAGGCCAGAAGGGAGTGGCAAGAAATATTCAAAGGGATGAATAGCAAGATTACTTTATCCATCAAAGCTATCATTCAGAATTGAAGGTCAGATAAAGAGCTTCACAGATAAGAACAAGCTAAAGGAGTTCATCACCACCAAACCAGTATTATATGAAATGCTGAAAGGTATCCTTTAAGAAGAGGAAGACAAAAAAGGTAAAGATAAAAATTATGAACAACAAATACATATCTATCAACAAGTGAATCTAAAAATCAAGTGAATAAATAATCTGATGAACAGAAAAAAAAAAAAAAAGAGAAAACCTTTTGAAATTTCCAAGCATCCATCTCTTCAATTCATAGCCAGCAAAAATTCAGTTCTCAATACAAGGTGGATTTGATGTTTTCTATGGTAGATCAAAATAGTACAGTCTAAATAAAGTAATTGTGATGAAAAGTACAATGTCTAGGAAAGCAAGGACTGTGTCTCTCTTATTCACCAGTATCCCCAAGTGCCTTAGACAGTGCATGGCAAAGAGTAGATACTTAAGAAGATAGTCATGGAATAATATATTTCATATGTTAAGTGATAAAAAGGATTTTCTAAGATATCAGACTTTTGTTCTAAAAATAAGAATTATTCCAGTGAATAAATTTTTTATTCAAATCTGTCGTGTGTGTGTGTTTGTTTTATTGGTTGATTTGCATGAGAGAGAGGAGAAAGAGAGAAACCTTGATTTGTTGTTATACTTATCTATGCATTCATTGGTTGATTTTTGTATGTGCCTTGACCAGGGGATTGAATCCACAATCTTGGCTCATCAGAACGACCCTCTAACCAACTGAGGAACCTGGCCAGGCGGTCATTTGTATATTTTTTATTTTTATTTTGTTAAAAGAATAGCTTATTGCCCTGGCTGGTGTGACTTGGTTGGAGCATTGTTCAGTGCACCAAGAGATCGTCGGTTAGATTCCCGGTAACAGGTCTAGGTTGTGGACTAAATCCTCAGTAGAAGGTGTGTAGGAGGCAGCCACTTGATGATTCTCTTTCTCTATCTCCTTTCCTCTCTCTAAAATCAATTAAAGCATATTAAAACAAAAAAGAATAGTTTATTGATTTTTAATTTTTTGTTAATCCTCACCCAAGGATATTTTCTGTAATTATTTTTTTTTAGAGAGAGTGGAAAAGAGGGGGAGAAAGAAACATCAATGTGAGAGAGACACATCGATTGGTTGCCTCCTGCACGGGCCCTGACCAGGGCCAGGGATCAAGCCTGTAAGTGAGGTATGTGTCCTTGATGGAAATCGGGCCCATGACCCTTCAGGCTGAGGGCCAACGCTCTAACCACTGAGCAAACGGGTAGGGCTAGTTTGTTGATTTTTTATTTTTATTTTTTAATATATATTTTTATTGATCTTTATTTATTTCTTTTTCTTCTTATTATTTTTTAATTCTCACCCAAGGGTATTTTTCCATTGATTTTTAGAGAGTAGAAAAGAGAGAGAAAAACAAAGAAACATCAATGTGAGAGAAACATCGATTGGTTGCCTCCTGCATTCACTCTGACCAGGGCTCAGGTGGAGGGGGGAGCCCTTGACCCGGATCGAACCCGGGACCCTTCGGTCCACAGGCCGATGCTCTATCCATTGAGCCAAACCACTTAGGTCAGTTTATTGATTTTGTTAGAGATGGGGAAAAGGATAGGGAGAGAGAAACATCCATGTGAGTGTGTAACATCAATCAGCTGCTTCCTGCACGCCCCCTACCGGGGACTGAGCCACAACCCAGCATGTGCCCTCACCTGGAATCCCTCTGGAAAACACCCAACCAAGTGAGCGACACCAGCTAGGGATGTCATTAGTATATTTAAGAAAGAAAATGACCCCAAGAGACCCACATGGCCCCCAAAAAACATGCTACATGGAAAGTCCTATAATTCCATCACTTGAAAGACATCCTAGGAGAGTTGGTAAGTTACAAGGATATTCTAAGTTGCATTGGAAACTACCCAAATATTCAATAGGAAACTGGTTAAACACTACAATGAACTATGATGCATTGTTAAAAATGACTAGATAGATACTAGTATATATGTATTGATATTGACATGGAAAAATGCTCATGTTATATTGGTAAGTAGAAAAAAAAAGGAAGTTGTAGACAGTGTGAATAATATAATCCCATTTTTATTTTTAAATAAAATAATATGTTATATCTACAAAAAAGGAGTTGGGGTATGCATATTAAATTATTGGATTTTTGGAAAGTTGAGATTTTGAGGGCATGGATCATCTACATCATATATTTATGGATTCTTTGATATTCAAATAATTCTTACATCTGTAACCAGATAAAGGTTTTTTAAGAGAAGAGAGGGACATGATATTTGGAGTAAAAAAGACTGCTTTTGAATCACAGATCTGCCAACTATCAGCTGCATGGTCTTGGACAAGTCACTTCATGCCTTCGAGTTACAATTTCCTCATCCATAAAATGGGGAGATGAATACATGCCTCATAAGAGTGTTACACCTATATCTTCAGTTTCATCTCATACCATCATCCTCTCTCAGTATGCTCTAACAGAAGGGTCAGCAAACTACTCTTTAGGCTAAATTGGGCCCTGTTTTTATAAAATAAGGTTTCGGAAAGAACCAAGATGGCGGCATAGGTTAACGCCGGAGTTTGCTGCTTTGAACAACTACTTCAAAAGTGAAACTAAAAGACGGAACGGACATCACCCAGAACCACAGGAATGCTGGCTGAGTGGAAGTCCTACAACTAGGAGGAAAGAGAAACGCATACGGACACTCAGAGGAGGCGCAGTGCTGAAGTCAAATTCTGAGGTGCGGAGTGCGCGGAGTGGGCTGGCGGCAGAGGGCGCGGTTGGCGTTTTCAATCGGGAGGGAGTCGCAGACTCTGAGCTCCAGATACAGGCGAGTCTTTAGGGACCCAGACTCAAATGGGAGAAGCGGGACTGTCTGGCTTCGGTCAGAGTGGGTGCAGCTTTCTCTCCGAGGTTTGCAGCGGGTGCTGGGACTCAGAGAGGCAGAGCCCCTGGGGACAGGACTGAGAGCCGCCATAACTGCTCTCTCCGGCCTACCCTGTTGATCCTGTGCGACCCGCCCCGCCCAAGCCCTGCACAGAGGCATTTGCCGGATAGCCTCAGGCAAAGGCTAGATTAGCACCTCCCTAGAGGACAGAAGTTCTCTCACTGCTGACACAGCTGATTCTCATAGCCACTTGGTCTGGAGGTCAAACCCTCCCTGGTATTAGCTACAACAATCAAGGTTTAACTATAAGACTGCGCACAAAGACCACTAGGGGGTGCACCAAGGAAGCATAACAAAATGCGGAGACAAAGAAACAGGACAAAATTGTCAATGGAAGATATAGAGTTCAGAACCACACTTTTAAGGTCTCTCAAGAACTGTTTAGAAGCCGCCGATAAACTTAATGAGATCTACAAGAAAACTAATGAGACCCTCGATGTTATATTGGGGAACCAACTAGAAATTAAGCATACACGGACTGAAATAACGAATATTATACAGACTCCCGACAGCAGACCAGAGGAGCGCAAGAATCAAGTCAATGATTTGAAATGCGAGGAAGCAAAAAACACCCAACCGGAAAAGCAAAATGAAAAAAGAATCCAAAAATGCGAGGATAGTGTAAGGAGCCTCTGGGACAGCTTCAAGTGAACCAACATCAGAATTATAGGGGTGCCAGAAGATGAGAGAGAGCAAGATATTGAAAACCTATTTGAAGAAATAATGACAGAAAACTTCCCCCACCTGGTGAAAGAAATGGACTTACAGGTCCAAGAAGCGCGGAGAACCCCAAACAAAAGGAATCCAAAGAGGACCACACCAAGACACATCATCATTAAAATGCCAAGAGCAAAAGACAAAGAGAGAATCTTAAAAACAGCAAGAGAAAGAAACTCAGTTACCTACAAGGGAATACCCATACGACTGTCAGCTGATTTCTCAACAGAAACTTTGCAGGCCAGAAGGGAGTGGCAAGAAATATTCAAAGTGATGAATACCAAGAACCTACAACCAAGATTACTTTATCCAGCAAAGCTATCATTCAGAATTGAAGGTCAGATAAAGAGCTTCACAGATAAGGAAAAGCTAAAGGAGTTCATCACCACCAAAGCAGGATTATATGAAATGCTGAAAGGTATCCTTTAAGAAGAGGAAGAGGAAGAAAAAGGTAAAGGTACAAATTATGAACAACAAATATGCATCTATCAACAAGTGAATCTAAGAATCAAGTGAATAAATAATCTGATGAACAGAATGAACTGGTGATTATAATAGAATCAGGGACATAGAAAGGGAATGGACTGACTATTCTTGGGGGGGAAAGTGGTGTGGGAGATGCAGGAAGAGACTGGACAAAAATCGTGCACCTATGGATGAGGACAGTGGGTGGGGAGTGAGGGCAGAGGGTGGGGCGGGAACTGGGAGGAGGGGAGTTATGGGGGGGGAAAAAAGAGGAACAAATGTAATAATCTGAATAATAAAGATTTAATTAAAAAAAAATAAGGTTTCATGGGAACATAGACAGTTGTTTACATAATGTCTATGATTGCTTTTTATGATAACAGTAAGGTTGAGTAGTTACTACAGGGACCATATAGCCTCAAAGCATGAAATATTTACTGTCTGGCCCTTTGCAGAAAACATTTGTTGACTAATCCCTGCTCTAGGAAGAATACATTGGCTTTCTCCCACCTCCTTTAACATAGCACATTCTTTGCAAGCACATCCCTAAGGACCTTTACACACACTGATCCCTTTGCCTAAAATGACATTCTCACATCTCACATCTAATCCTTTTCTTTCAATCCTACTCACCCTCATCACCTCCTTGGGGAGATCTTTGCTGGCCCACCCCACCCCTGAATTAGATTAACTTTCCTGGTATCCATTCTCATAGCATCCCTCATAGAGCTTCTTGTGATGGCAATTACCCTAATTATTTGTGTCCTTATTTCTTTAATGTTTTATTCCTCCTGTAAACTGCAAACCCATAAAAAATATTCTTGTTCAATGACGAATTTCCAGTGCCTAACAAAGTGTCTGGACGACAATGCATGGATATGTGCATGCATAAATGCCATAATGTATAAAAGGTACATATTGTCTTATATATATTGTATACAGTATATGTTTTAACAAGTAATTCATCTAGTAGATGTGCAAATGGTTACGAGCACAAATTAAGGGTTAGACATCCTGAGATTGAATCCCAATTCTTCCATTTCATACATGAGGACCCTCAGACAAGTCTCTAACCTCTTTTTGTTAGCTTCCCATATGTAAAATGGGCATAGAACCTACCTCATGAGATTTGTAAAAAAGACTAAATAAAATTAGCATAGAGCCTGGCACACATAAAGCGTTCAATAGATGCCATCTATAATTATAGTTATTAATTACTTTATAATTTTTATAATACAAGCCTTAGATAGATGGCAGATATTATGACCCCCATAAAATTGACTCTAGTTTGCCCTGGAGTCAAGGCTACTAGGACAAGGTGAACTGAGGTCTCTCACTCAACTCCCAACACAGCCAAAACATAAATCAAGCCAGAGCCATGGTTAAGCAATATTCTTTCTTTAATTCCCCTTTGCAAATGGAAGCCCCTGAGCTGGTCCCCACCCCCACCCCTAGGGATTCCGTACCCTGGACCCCAGATACAATGTGCCTGCCTCAACCTGGTGGGAGGAAGAGAGGAACCTCCCAGGATGGCCCATTAGAAAAAAATCCTAGTCATTTAAGAAATGAGGCTGAGGACAAGAGAAGGGAACTGGAAGACAAGGCCCAGGTAAGGCCAGACTGGAGATTTTGGGGTTGTGAGGACCCTTGAGAAGGGTTTGCAAGCACATCCCTAAGCTCAAGGCCAGCATGGCTGAGGGAAAGGAGACAGACAGATAATCTGACTCCTCAAGGTCCTGTCTGCCTGATATGAACACTGACACTCACCACCACCACCACCACCACAGGCCTCTGGATGGAGAATTTTCCAGTTACTCTGGGGAAGAGTTTGATAAGCATCCCCTCTTGCCCCTGATCTGGGGCATCCCTGGGGTCCTCCTAAGACCAAACCTGGGAGAAGGAAGGACTCTAGGAACATGCAAAGGGGGGGGGGGAGCAGAGACCCCCACCCCACCCTGCTGCTCTACAGGATGGTGGCTCCAGCTGCATCTGGACTCCGAGGGTCCTTCACACCGATGATGAAGTTGTTGGTTCTCCGGCTGCCATGGACCCAGGATAAGACATCTACCTTCTCCACGTGGTGACCCCTCGCTTCCAGGAACTCAATCTCTTCCTCTGTGAACTCACCTGAAAACCATCCCACAACATACACACATTCAGAGTTTTCAGAGCACTAGCTCAGGAGTCCTATGGTCAGACCTGAGTCCTGGTCCTGGGTGCTCCACTGAGGAGGTGTATGACCTTGGTCAAATTGCTTGACCTCTCTGAGCCTCAGTATCTTCGTGCATAAAATAGGGATTATACAAGAACCTACTATATAAAGTTGTTGCAGGGATTAAAGGATATAATACACAGAAAGCATTGAGTTCAGAGCCTTGCATACAGTAAGTGATCCATAATATACAATCATTCTTAATATTGGAAAAGGGGTTTTGGGGTTTTACCTCCACCTGCATAGGCCAAGCTGCCATCATCGCTTGCTAGGATTACTGCATAGCCCACTAACTGGTGTTTCTGCTTTCAGTCCTGCCTTCCTTATAGCCTATTCACACAGCAGTCAAAGAGTCCTTTTAATCCACTAAACCATATCACTTTCCCCCACTCAAAACCCTCTATCAATGATGAGAGAATCATTAATCAGCCCCCTCCTAGATGCCCCTACTGGGGATTGAGCCCGCAACCCTGGCATGTGCCCTGGCCGGGAATTGAACCAGGACCTCCTAGTTCATAGGTCAACACTCAACCACTGAGCCACACCAGCTGGACCCCTCTAACAGCTTTGATGACTCTTAGAATAAAATCTAAAGTCCTTACCAAGGCCTCTAAGACCCACCATCAACTGGGTCCTCACTACCTCTCTAAACTCCTCTCTTCACTTCCTTCAACTCCCTTCGTTAACTCTGCTCTAACCTCCTTGCTGTCCATCATGGAAGTCAAACATGCTCCTATCTCAGGGACTTTGCACTTGCTTTCTCTCTGCTTGGATTGTTTCTTCCTAGAGTCACAAAACTGCCTCCTTACTTCATTCCAATCTTCAAGAACTTCTCTCATCACTATCTAAAATATCAGCCCATGTTATCTTTACCTTGCTTTGTTTTCTTTCAAAGTACTTAATGCGAAGGCGTTGGTGGTATAGTGGTGAGCATAGCTGCCTTCCAAAGTACTTAATGCTACCTGTATTTGTTTATTTATTTACTGTGTCTCCTTCCACTGTATTATAAACTTTTTAAAGGCAGGGATGTTGTCTTGTTCACTATTGATCCTCAGAGCCTAGAACTGAGTGAGGACATAGTAAATGTTAAGCCAAGACTTATTGGATAAATGAGTAAGTCCTCACCCTCTTGCATAATTTCAGGTCTTCATCTCTTGCTGGGCTATTATTCAGGGTGCTTCTTGTATTTCCCCAACTTAAATTCTCCTCCCTACAATCCACCTACCCTGTAAATGCAGTATCCCTGGCATCTAAGACAATGCCTGGCACACAGTTGATACTCAATACAAACTGCTGAAGTACTGGTTTGCAGAATGAACAACTGCTTCTTATTTTATAAATGAGAACACTGAGGCTCAGAGTGGAGACAGAAATTTCCCACGGCCACACAGCCAGGAAATGGCAGGATGGTTCTAATCCCCCAGATCTTGTACTGTTAGGAATTAGTTGGAAGAAAACAAACTTTCAATGGCAGGGAGTTGGTTCTGGTTGAGGCAGGGACACCCTTGGGAGGAGCCTCTTTCCCCACCAGGCCCTGTGCCTACTCCATGGGGACACTCACTGTCCACCTGCAGGAGGTTGGACTGCAGGTCCGGGTGTAGGCGGCCATGGGCCAGGCTGTCACTCAGGTTCCGGTTCAAGGTCAGGACATTCAGCAGAACCTGCAGACAACCAAAGGGCAGAAGTCATGGCTACCCCAGAGATGGACTCTATGGTCCTTCCTCCTGGTCCAGACTCCTTAGTCTTTAGATTCCTTGCACCAGGGGTGTCATTTGAGCTTCTCAACAGTCCCAGAAGACAGGCAGACCTTTGATGAATGTCCCCATTTCACAGAGGGGTAAATGAGGGCCAGAGAAGAAAAGTGATTCACTCCAGAGTTTGGAGAGAGCCAGGGAGGAGGCACTGCTAGCACCCAGTCTCCCAGCCCAGGGCTGACCTCCCTTGTCCTTGGCCAGGACAGAGTTAATGGCTGGGGATAGTCTAGGTCACAATGTGGGTACTTTTAGCTTATTGGTTTGGAGTGTGGGTAGGCTCTGGAACCAACTGCCTGCCCATTCTTACTAAACTGGACCTAATTTTTTAACCTCTCTGGGCCTCCGTTTTTTTTATTTATGAAATAGAAATAAGGATTCCTTCCAAAGTTGGGAAGGTTAAGAGAGTCGACACACCTACCACCATGCCCAGTACTTAGTAAGAACTCTGATTATGTTAGCTATTTTTATCTCTATTTTACAGATGAGGAGACAGGTTCAGAGAAGTTAAGTGAATTCTCCAACATCACACAATTGGAAATTGGCAGTACTTGGCCTGGGACTCAGGGACGTCTGATTCCAAAGCTCAGGTTAGTTAACTCACCACCTGCCAAATTATGTGCCTGGCACATATATCAGGTGCTCAAGACATTTGTGGAATTGTTGTGAGGCATTTTGGAGTGTAGCAGACCCTTCCTTTCAAAAGCAAATCCTAAAGAGGACTGCTTCTCTATTCAGATGTTGAGTAGAGCATGGTGGAACTTGAGATTGACAGAATTCAGGCAGTCCAGATGCCCTATCACCTCTCAATTCCACTGGCCCTGCAGTTTCTCCTGCAACCTGGGAAGACAGGGAGTTTCAGGGCTACATTTTCACTAAGAAAGTCAGCACAGCCCATCTCCTTAGTGTCCAGAAGGGCCCTGCCACAAAGCAGTTCCAGCCCTTGTTTGCTGTGAGTAAAGGATGAGAACGAGCAAGAGACATGAAGGCTGCAGCCCAGGCAACAGCTTGGCTCCTGGCCACAGAAGGCCTGACATGGAGGAAACCTCACCTGGGTTAGGCCGCTGAGGCCCCGGGCAGCTCCATTGGCCCCCAGGGCGAGGTAGGTTCCACAGAGCCCCTCTGCCGGCCGGACCACAGTGGGCAGTAGGAAAGACAGTGGCCGCTTCCCTGGCTGTACCGAATTCTCCTGTTGTCAGAGGACCAAGGCCACAAGGGAGATGAGAGGTAGGGTGAGGTAGGATAAGGACTACTCAACCACTCTTCCAACCTCTCTCCCTCTCTTACATCTCCCACAGGTAGGAGACTGGTCTCTCCCCAGGCCACAGTTTGCTATAAGTGAAATGGTCAGGGTCTTTGGATAACTGGGGTGGATAGTGAACCCACTAAGTTTTGAGGCTACTATGGATGGCAGGAGATGGGGAGGGGCAAGCCAAGAAAGATGGCTATGGGGATGAACAGAATTATCTCCACCCTGGTCATCTCTGTCTTTGTCCTGCCGGGGCCCCAGCTTGCAGGGTGTAAGAGTGCTGGCCTCCAACTACACAGTAATTCCTATTTCCTTTCTCCTTTGGTGCCCAGCAATAGGGCTGAGCCCCATGAGCTCAGCATTACACAGACATAGACAATTAGTACTAGAGAGTACCTAAAGCACAAAATCAGGGGCCAATATCCTCATTATACCAGCACAGGTGAGAAGAAACTGAGGCCCAGAGAGGGGACAAGACTTTCCCCAGGTCACACAATCAGACCTTGACAGAATGGGACAAGGTTTCTTTGGATCTACCAGGCTCCAAGCCTCAGACTTGGGCTAGAGTGAAGTAAACACCTTGTCTGGGCTCCTTTTCTTTACAATAGAAGTTCCTAGAGGAAGTAGGGAGGGAGGAGCAGCCATACTGTAACACATTTTTATCCCTCTCTAGCCTTGGAGTCCCCAGGGTAGGAGGGAAGCAAGACCCTACCAGGCTGGGTGCAGAGTGGTTAGCAGTCCTGTTGGGCCAGGAGAAATCCAGCATCTGGCTGTTGAGTAGGATCCCCGAGGGGGTGATGAGGCCACTGCCAAAGGGCCGGTTCAGGGAGCTGGGGGCCGAGATTGGGGCCAGGTGAACCCTGAGCCCACTCTCACTCCTGCCCAGCCCCCACCTAGGTGATCTCTTGTGCCAAGTGGAGTCTGAGCTTGCATACCTGACCATGGCCACAATGAAGTCATCAGGGCCCATGATCAGCACCTGGGCAGCCGTGGGAGCCCCATCCAGCTCGTAAACAGGCAGGAGTGGGGCAGGGGCTGCCTGGGAGTCATTGATGTGGCCCCGGAGGTAGGCAGCCTCTACTTTGCTGAAAAGACATGGGGTAGGAGATGAACACACAGCAAGTTCTCATTACATTCCACCTACCACTCTTTGTGATGTCTGTTTGTGTTATTATTTGATTAATATCTGCCTCCCCCATTGGTCTATACCAAAAAATAGATTACTTAGTCTTAGCATATAGGAAATATTCAAGAAATAGTTGTTGAACTGAATGAATTTATTTGGGTATTATTCAGATTCTCTTCTAGAGCCAACTTTTAATTTATTCAGTGCCTAAGTCAAGAGTCTTTTAGTTACTTGACTTTACTCATTTAATCCTTTCTATGAAAGTACCTCCTAGGGTATAGTGAATGCTCAGAAGATATTTGTTTTGACATGTACAAACTGAATTCACTTAAGCTGATGTGTATAATCTCAAAATTAAGTTTCACTAAGAATTTAGTGTTTGTATGTGTGCGTGTGTGTGTGGGGGGGGCGGGGGATGTGGAGGGGAGGTTTATATACAAGAATCTTTACTTGCTATTAGAATTTTTTTTGAAGACACAGAAAGACTTGTCATATAGTAAGTTCTTAATAAATATTTATTAGATGGCCTGGCCAGAGTGTCTCAGTGGTTGAGTGTTGACCTATGAACCAGGAGGTCATGGTTCCATTCCTGGTCAGGTCACATGCCCAGGTTTCGAGCTTGATCCCCAGTAGGAGGCATGCAGGAGGCAGCTGATCAATGATTCTCTCTCATCACTGATGTTTCTCTCTCTCTCCCTCTCTGAAATCAATAAAAATATATATATATTTTTAAAATTTTATTGAATGAATGGATTTATTATAGGCATGTGTGTGTATTTTAGACCTAAATATGTATTGATCTTAAAAGCAAATTTATGAAATCATGAAAATAAAAATTTACATTAACTATATTTTTGGTTTCTGATTTTCCCTTAGCTAGCCTTTAAGTCAGTTATAGTAGTTAAATGGTAACCATTCTTATCCCTATTGCTAATTAATACTAATGATGATATTTGTTGAATATTTATTATGTGTCAGACAACATGCTCAGGGCTTTGTATGTATAATCTTGCTTGGTCTTTACAATTAACCATGAGGTTGGCACCATTATTGTCAGGCCCCCTTGCAGAAACAGATTTAGAGAGGGTAAGCCTGCATAGGCTGAGAATCTGGGATTTGAACTGAGTCAGTCTGACTACAGCCCACAGTTTTACTATTATGTTATGCTGCTAATATAGACACATTTTAATCAAATTCTCCACCACCTCTAATATTTTCCTGGAGACTCTTTTAATTGTTAATAGGCTTTCTTTTTCCACTCAAAAGGAGGACCAGATGGGCCCATATATGTGCCCTGCTAGGGTCAAAAAATTGTGAGAGCCATATGAAGTAGAGCAACTCATTGTACAGATGGGAACACTGAGGTGCAAGGAGAAGCATCAGTGTCACATTGTGAGAGTTAGGGTTGAGCTGGAATTGACTTGGGACTTCAGGCCTATTTTTCTATCAGCTGCTTTACACCTGATCCTTTCCCCACATCGCCACCATCTGTCCAGTCCCCAGGGTCCTGCCACAAGACCCACCTTAGCATGTCATCCATGCTCTCAATGATTGTAGAATCATAGATGGGGTCTCCCAGTCTGCTGGCCAGGGCTAATGCAATCTTCAGGGTCTGAAAACAGAGCAGAGGTATGGCAGAGGCTGCCAGACTTCTCCCAGAACCCACACCCAGAATTCTTGTGTGTGAGAAAACTTGGAGGGGATTTAGTCCTGCCCCATGGAAGTACCCCATCCCCCCACTCTCAGTGTCCCCCAACACAGGGTCAAATGGAAGGGTTGGCCTTACCTCTGCCACCCAGTGAAGAGCCTGTTCCCGGGAGACCAGGCTGGTGAGATTGAAGCCCTCGAGGATGTTGAGAGCACTGATGAGGGCAGGGCCTGTGTGCGGGGGTGGGGGACTGAGAACCAGGTGGCCTGAAAGGACAGGAAATGACCAGATGGCAGGGACAGTCAAGGCATCTCCACATCCCACCATCACATAGACTGAGACCACAGCACTGAACTCCCTCATCAGATACAGGAAAAGCGGTAACAGGCAAAAGGACACACGAAGTTCACATGGCGAGTCAAGGACAGGGCCAGGACCCCAATCCAGAACACTGGTCTTCAATTTCCTCTTCCATATGAGGCAACTAAGGCTGAAGAGGACTGTGATTTGCCCAGAGTTTCAATGAAGCTATTGGCACAGCAGGGACAGATGTCCAGATGTTCAGATTCCTGGCCCACCATTGGGCAGGATATACTATTCAGGGCTCCTGATGGTCCCACCCCTGAAACTTCTTGGGAGCAGCAACCTCCTCTTCCTACCTAAGGCTCTAGTTATTAGACGTTTGGACACCAAAGGAATAATAATATCTGATATAACACAAACCATAACTAATTAACTCACTTAATCCTCACAATGGGTACTTTTATCATTTCCATTTTATAGGTGAGAAAACTGAGGCACAGAGAAGCAGCTGGTCCAAGGTTACAGGATACAAGTGGAACCCAGAGTACTCAAGGTTCTGGCATTGCCAAGAGAACACAGGCTTTAGGGGGAAATGGAAAATCAAATATATATTCAGTGCCCATTCTGATCAGGGCAACTTCCAACATCATCTCATCAAATCCTCATGGCTACCCTAAGAGGTAGGCACTATTATCTCCATTTTAAGGAGGGAACCATGGTTCAGAGTGGGAAGTGACTTGTTCAAGGTGAATGGCATAGCTGGTACTCAAACCCAGGTCTTCCTGGCTCCCTAGCTATGCTCTTTCTCTGTTCCATATGCCACTGCCTCTGGTAGAGGAATTGGGCTGGAGATTGAGGCCTGGAAACTTGAACTCAGAGGCAGTCTCTTCTGGGGCTTGAAGTAATCTGGGCCTCTTAGAGGAAAGACAACTTATGACCTAGGAACCTACCACTTTGGGTTCAACAAACATGGACTTCATCTATGTCATACACTTGAATTTATGGGTTTATCATTGGTTTTGAATTTGACAGGTTAAGTTCTTTCCCTTCCCTGGGCCCTCGGTTTCCTTTCAGCAAAATTAGAGGGAAGTCTATGACTGTCTTGAAAAGTTTATTATAACCAGAGGCTTATATGGACTTTAGTCTTATGAGTTCTTCTTATGATGTATAGGGCATTGAGAGTGGGACCAGGGATGGGACAAGACAACAGAGAGCCCAAATCAAGAAAACCTATGGCTAGAACCCCAATTTCTAGGCCTGAACCTTTGACCAGACCTCCTTCCCCATATCCTAAATATGTGGAATAATTGACTCCAAGATTACTTCAGAAGGTAAGCTAACTCTGGCTTGCTTCATTAGATAGCTGCCCAGGCAGCTCACTGACTCAGTTTCTCTCCTGGCACATTGGAAGGAGTCTCTAGGCCAAAAGCATACAGCCATGGACTGGGAGGATTCTCCCGAGTGGGGACCCTGGGGAGCTGGGGGAGAAGTCACCTCTGTACACGCCACACACAGGCTTCTCCACGAGGGCACTGTAGTTGCTGAAGTCCTCCTCAGTTATAACACCCCCTGCATGCTGAGCCTGGAAGGGAGAGAATGCCCCCACCACCACTTTAAGCCACACACCACACAGTGAGCATGTGCATTTGGCCTATGGTTTATGTTTGAATCACAGACAGATCAGATGCTTATAACTTTTGTGCCTTCTGCATTTCCCATCATGACCTTTAGGGACCCCATCAGCCCTGGGTACCCCAGGAAAAAAGGAAGAGAAAAAAGCACTAACATTGAGCACCTACTATGTGGAAGACATTGTGTTGGGTACATTCTATGAATGACCTTCTTATTTCAGTATTTAAGGCTCCTTGTGATCTGGCCCCTGCCTACATCTCCGCCTCATGTCCTGCTATTCCCCAGTGAGCTTTGGGTGACCTGCAGTTCCTGAACTCATGACTACTGCCCTCTCTGCCTATGAGAAAGGAAGATTTTTCACTTACAGCAGTACTTGCTTGAGAGATATCAAACTGAATTCTGCATTTCACTACAAATAACTAAAGCCACTACAAAACCATGGATGGCCCTGGTAGGAATGACATAACCAATTACTGACCAGTGAACCAATCTTGTACAAACCAATGGGCTCATTTCATACTATCCAGCATGCTAATCTTCCAACCCTAAATTAGCATAACAATAGGAATGTCCTCCTTTTTAGTACTTGAAACCTCTGACTTCTAATCCACCCTCAATGAACTATACATTGAATTGCTTGGCTGGTGTGTGTTCCTTTGTTTGACAACTTTGGTTTTTTTTTTAATTTGAAGCTCTGATGGTCTTTGTTAGAGTCTCCTTCATCCCCTTCTCCACCACTAGGAGAGGATACACAATGCAGGTCTGGTTAATCAGAGCATTTGTTTTCATGGCAGTGGTTGGTTTGGGAATAGTCATGAGACCTATTACAGGCCAATGGGACATAACCTTGAGGCTTTTGCTGGAATTACTGGAATGAAAAATGCTCCTTCCTTAGGATGGCTTACTGGAAGGATGGCTGATGGGAGCAGGTGTGGGAAGGATCTGACCAAGAGTGAATTCAAGCAGAGGAAAGTAGAGTCATGAGACAGAAAGAAAGATAGACCAAGTCCTCACAATGGGGATGGAGCCCCTGGGTCCAGCTGACCTAAAGCCAGTACTCTGCTGGACTTTCCAGTTAAGTCCATCTGAGGTGACTTCTATCACCACATCCATATCTCCAGTGCTCAGCACAGGACCTGGCTCAGAGCAGGCACTTTGTAATATAGAATGAGTGATGGACCTATTCAGTTCCCATAACTGTATGGCAGAGATAGATATAATCACCCTATTGCACAGATGAAAGAACCACTGAGTTGGTCTGTGTATCCTTATCTTGAACATAATTTTCCATCAGGAATTTTCAACTATTGACAACAATTCTAAAACCAATTACTGCCTCAGACTAAGACTCTTTGGGGTTAGTTGGTAAGCCCTTATATTAATCCCCCCAGTTCCAATGAAGGAGGCCCTTTGCTCAATCCCTAGAAAACCCAAGGGCAGGGTGAGGTTGTGGGCTCAGGGAAGCTGAAGCTGATCCCGGTTCTCCACTGAGCCTGGGAGGGGCAGGACAGGCCTCTGTACAGGCTGGCACCAGCCCTGGGAAGCCCAAAGTTACCTCTCTCAATCAAGACAAAACATTCACATCATCCCAGTAGGTTCTTCCTGCCGAATTCCAGTCAAGCCCTCCCATTCCAACAACCACTGATCTCTGATTCCTATCACCAGAGATTAGTTTTGCCTATTCTAGAATTTCAAGTAAATATATGTAGAGAGAAATCCAGGGAAGAAAGGGGGGAAAGGATGCCCCCACAATAGGGGCCTTTGGGGCAGATGGGCTCTCCATGTGCTCACCTCGGCCACCATCTCCAGCGTGAGGTTACCACCAGCATAGAAGGCAGCGGGGCCATAGGTGCCAAGTAAATCCAGTACCATGGCCAGGTCAGGCCGTTGCATCAGCGAGCCAGGTAGTGGTGGGCGGCCCGATGGCAGGAACGTCTCATGGAAGTGCTCAGATGCATCAGGCGGCAGCTGTTCTGCCAGGGCACGTGCTATGGGCAGGGACAAGAGGCTGGGCAGGGATTGCCAGGGCTGGACCCAATGGCTGAGATGCATAATAGGTGGAGTAAGGGCTGAGTGTCCGGCCCTAAGCTCCAACCCCCAAGGAGCCTGTTATGGGAGAGGTAGGGTATATATGGGCCTCTCTAGATCTTTTCATTTGAGTCTGCCTCCTGATAAGGGTGGGAGAGATCTGAGGAGCAAACTGGAAGACAGGTGCTTTCTGGTTTGGGCCCCAAATCTCAGAGGTTCTATCTCCCCCCTCCATCAACCGCATGCCTTTCCCCTGACCCCCCAGGCCCCACTGACCTAGATCATGGGTTACGTTGAAGCCATCTTGGGCCACAGCTGCTGCAAAGGCCAGGACTTGGTACCATGGCAGCCTGAGAAGTGGGGGGCAGAGAGAAGGGGGTGGAGGAGGTCCTGGGGGGATGAGGAGGGGTCCGGGAGGAGGGGGTTCCTGGGAAGGAGAGTCCTGGCAAGGGAAGGGGATATTAGGAGGGGGAGTTTGGAAGGAAATAATCCAGGAAGGTAGGAGGCCACCAAAGGAGCAGTGCAGGCAGGGCCCCTGGTCCCCAGGGGGAGGGTCTTTACCTGCCATAGAGCTGGTGAGCTTCATGTAGCCCCTTCACCATTCCGGGAACCCCCACCAAGAGCCCAGGCTGGGCAAGGCGGGCAGGCGAGGGAGAGAGGAGACCAGGTCACTGGAAGGGGGGGGCTGGGCTGAACTCTGCAGAGCCCCAAGCCAGGGATGGGGGGGCTGGCACAGGGGAGAGACATAGGCCAAGTATCCTAGAGGAGGGACAGGCTGTCCCAGCAGGCATCCTCCCTCCCATCTCCCCAACTTCCTATCAGCAAATGCAGAAAGGCCTCCTTTATCATAATTGAGGGACTTATAAATTAAGCAAATCCTTTTAAGAGCTAGGACATAACCAATTTAGATGGGAACCTGTCTTCATTGGATTATACCTATTCCTGCTTTTTAAAATAGTGGGCAAGAGACCTTCCTTTTACCTTTTCATTAGCATTCCATCATTACTATGAGCTGTGTAACTCAGGTGTGTGTTTGGCTTTTACCTCTGTGCTAAATATCTATTTTTCCAAGTTATTCTCTCTCTGCCTTTGCTCTCAGTGGACAGTGGGTTTTCCTCTAGCAGTTCCTGTCTAATCTTCCAACAGGTTGTGGGCTGGGAAAGTTGTAGTCGACAGGCTCAGAGTGGGATGTGTGAGTGACAGTGCAGCAACTTTGATGTCTCAGGCTGCTCAGTGGCCTTTTTTCTTCTTTCTATGTGCCAGATAGACAAGGTTGCCACAGAAGCTAAGATGTTGCTGTACTGCCTGATACCCACCATGCAGAATTTTTTGCTCAGTATTTTATTTGGAGGGTTGCCTGTCTCCCTCATAACCTAAGAGCATCCTGCTCAACTCATTTCCTCACCTCCATAGCAAATACTCAGCAAAGTAATGCTTGGGTTAGAAGAAGGGCAGTGAAGGAAGACCCCCCCCCCCCCATACTTTCTTCTCACGAGGGTCCGCACCTTGGTTTCCCAGGATCTCTGCAGGGCCTCTTCCCTGAGGGCCCCTGGTGCAGACTCCCGGAAATCAATTAGGCGGCTCTCATTGCGTCGGATGTCATGTACCAGCATCACACCCCCACTGGAAAACACACAGAAGGGGGCAGGTGGTGACGAAAAGATGCTACCCCTCTGAACAGTTAACCTGCCACCCTTCAACTCCCAATGGCGATGGCTGTAGGCTTAGTTTGTCATCAGGAGACAAGTGTTTGAGCCCCCTTCCCAACAGAGATTCAGAGATTCAGCCGCACCACAAGGGTGGGGAGCGAAATCAAGGCAGGGATCCAGAGTTCAAGGACCTCTTTCAGCTTGTCACTGGAGACTTTAATCCCTGATTTAAAAAAAAAAAAAAAAAAAAGAAAGAAAGAAAGAAAAAAAAAAAAAAAAGCAGAGACTGGGAGAGCAGGATGTTCTCTTCCCCCTTACCGCCCCCCCTCCCCCCACCATAGCTGGACCCCTGCCAGCTTCCTGCACCTGCCTCCTTGGTATGCCTCCACTCCCTCTCCCAGGACTGAATTATGTAAGAACAGACTGTGCAAAAACAAAAGGGGAATTTCTTTGGTAGGGTCTGGAAGACTGGTCTTACAGGAACCAAGACATGGACTTTGTCAGCTTGTCCCTTTTCTGTGACTTGTCTGCATTTGAGATGGTGGTAGCATCTGAGATGGCGGCCTGCAGCCAAGTAACTAACAAAGATTGGGGAGTGGTAGCCCTGCGGCAAAGTAGAAGGCACAGAATGGGAAGCGGCTTCTACTCAGGTCCAGATCATTGCAGTCATATGGAACTGTGTTACCAGGTCTCTTCAGGTTCAAGAGATGTTGGACATTCTCAACTTTTCAACAATAGGAAACACATTTTAAAAAATTTAAGTCTGCAAACCAAACCTGTCTGTGTTCTGGGTTTGGCCCCTGGGTGGCCAATTTGTCCTCTGTTTTAAGAATTCTTAGTGGGGGGGAGGGGGGGTATGTTTTGGAGCATATAGAGTCCATAGCTCTCATCAGACTTACAGGGATTTGTGAGCCCAAAAGTTAAGTATGGCTGCCTTAATTAATGACAGTATACCCTTACTTGTGCACCTCACCTTACAATTTACAACATCATTTTCCAAATTTGTTTTAAAACAGAAAAAGCTTCTGAAAACACCTCCTCTGACACCAGGTAAGAAGAAAGGGATGAAATTGTGTGTGTAGAAAGAGCAAAGGCAAGGAGTTGGGGCCTATCTGTTTCTCTGCTCAAACTTGGAGACCCCCACATGAGGTCTACAGACCAGGACAGGGACTTAGACCTGGGGGACCCCAACCTCCACAGTGGGGAGCTCCTTACCCGCCCAAGCCAGAACTGTGCGGAGCCACAATTCCCAAACACAGGGCGGCGGCCACAGCTGCATCCACAGAAGATCCCTGTTTACTGAGCACCTCGATGCCCAGTGATGTACAACGAGCAGCATCGGTCACCACGGCGCCCTGGTGCAAGATCTGGGAGAGGAAAGGGGCTAGTTGGGGACAGGAGGAGCCCCCTGCTTCCCTAGGGTACCTCCACTAACCCCAGAACCTCCACGGGGGTGGGGGTGGGGGTGCTGGTGGGAGCCCTGTCCTCTTGCCCCCTTGATTCTCCGCTATTTACCTTCTTTTCCCTCATTTACCTCAAGTGCCTCCTATCTGATCAGTCCCTTCCTTGCTCTGTCCCTCTCATGCCCGGAGCCACCACCCCCCGCTTTGGGACCTTCCTCCCCCTTTTCAATTCCCGGCCCACTTCCACCACTCAGCCAGTCCCCAATTCCCACGGTCTTCCCAAGCGACTTCTCACCTGAGGGTCCCCGAAATAGATCTGCATAATGAGCGCCACAGTGACACCCGTGGCAAAGGTGAGGCAGGCTGTGACTATGACCGTGAGCCCGTCCTGGCGGCAAGAGCACTCCGCGGCTGCTGCGGAGAACGGGTCTTTGCGGGTCTCGCGTAAAGGCGACCCGTCCTGGCTCCCCATCTCTGAAGATGACGACGGCAGCCGCTGCAGGCGCGCTGACTTCAGGAAGGAGTCCGGGTCTGCGGGTGGCGAGGGGTGGAGGTGGGAGGGAGAGGTCGGAGGCGGGTGTCAGTCTGGAAGTCTCTTACCCCGCCCTGCCGCCCTCCAGTCGGAGCTATATCCTATCCCCTCTCTCCGCACTCCCGTCAAACAAACGCCAATATATAGCACCAGCGTCTACCTACCCCCATGCACCCCAGGGCGGGTGAGGTTGGCAGTCTGGGCTGGGAAGAGGCAGGGACCACCAGCAGGGCAGCTGGGCAGCTGGATTACTGTCCCTCGGCCAAATTTCCCCGAGCACCCAGGACCCAGGACTGGGAACACTTCCTGAAGAGGCGGGAATTGGACCCTCCCTGGAAACCAGATACTCTCAGAGCTGGGCCCAGCCTTCTACTCAAGGAGGCAGTTACCGAAACTGAGTGGATAGACCTTGGCTTCCAACCTTGCTTCATTCATTCATTCATTCATTCATTCATTCATTCATTCAACAAATATGGAGGATCTGCTATGTTTCTGGCCCTATGTTAGATGCTAGGGGAAAGGTACAGACAGTTCCCGCCCTCTGGGGTTCACAGATCTGTGGAGAAAGAAGGTAATAAACAAGTAAACAGGTGAGTATATAATTACAAGTTGTGGCAGGTGCTATGAATAAAAAGGATGAAATAAGACAATAGTGGTGTGTGTTGGGGGCTGCTTAGCTTGGAAAATCAGCCACAGCCCCCTCAGCAGCCTCTTAGCTTAGAAGTGACTTTTAAGCTAAGCACTGAAGGATGAGAAGGAGCAAGTGGTGAGTATGTAGTGTTCCAGAAAGAAGGACCAGCAGGTGCAAAGGCCCTACGGCAGGCATGAAATGGCACATTAGAAAAAAAATTAACCAAGCCCTGTGTGGTTCCAGCGTAGTGAGCAGTGGGGTGGAGGCTAGGCCAGATCACTGGGCCTTGGCTTAGTGAAGAGCCTGGATTTCACCCCAACAGCCATGGGAGGCCACTGAAGAGTTTTAGGCGAGAATGTGAGGCCACCAGTTTTATGCTTTAAAAAGACCCGTCTGGCCCTGGTCATTGTCGCTGGGTAGGCGAGTGTCCTCCCAGGCGCCAAGAGGTCACCGGTCTGATTCCCAGGCAAGGGCACATGCCCAGGTTTTCGGGCTCAATCCCCAGTAGGGGTGCAGGAGGCAGCCGATCCATGTTTCTCTCCCTCTCCCTTCCTCTCTAAAATCAATAAAAAACATATTTAAAAACAAAAAAACCATCCCTCTGGCTGCTATCTGGAGAATGGATCTGAGGATGTAGGAGTGGAGGCAGAAAGACTTGAAAGCCACTTCACTTGCTGAGTTACTATGGCTAAGTCACTTCAAATTATAAGTTTCGCTTTCTGCATCCTAATAATGGAACTAATCCCTAACTGGCCGGGTGAGTATAGAGATTCCATGAAGCGATGTACACAAAACACCCCATAAGCACTCACTCAAAGTTATTTCCGTTCTTTTTCAACCTTGGGCAACACAGAGAGACCCTCTTCTATCCCATAGTTCCCTCTCCTGGGTGCTAACAGTCTTGAACCCAGGCTTCTAAATGTCCTAAAGGTCCTTAGCTTGGTACCTTAATACCTTGCTGTACTCACAATGTGTTTTTTAAAAGTGCATTCATCCCATGGACATGGGCAATAGGGTGGTAAAGAGCTGAGGGGAGGGGGGAGGAGCTGGGAGGAGGGGAAAGAGGGGGGAATGGGAAATATTTGTAATAATATCAACAATAAAAATATATTAAAAAATAAAAGTGCATTCATTCAATAAATATATTTTTGAGCACCTACTACTGTGTACTAGGAGTATAACCTCTTTAAAAATCTGTGGGATAATATTAAAAATTGACTAGTATATTTTCCTATTTAAAATTGGTTACCAATGCCAACATGATAAAAACTTAAACTCCTTGACCTAGTGGTCAAGGCCCTTCATAATCCACACTCTTCTTTTATGTAAATAAGAAACTAGTGTGCACACACACACATATATATATATATTTCTTATAAATTATTTACAGTCATTACTTTTGGGAAAAGATCCTAAAGGTGGGGTGGGAGAATATTTTGTTTGAAATTTTATTTTAATTAATACATCTACCTTTAAATAAAAAGGAAAAATTAGAGGAAGACAACAATGGAGAAGGGAACTTTTCCTCACTATTCCTTCTTTATTCATTTGTTTGTTTATTTATTTTTACCTTGAACATGTAATTTGTTTTTAAATTTTTATTTAAAAAGGAAGATTGTCTTCCGGAAAACTGTTTCAGTTGATCGTGCTTCTGTCTAATGCTCAATACCAGAATCTGTAAATAAAATTGGAATTCATTGAACAGATGTTAAACACCTACTCTGGGCACAGAACTCTCTTTGGCACCTAGAGGTTTCAAAAGAACTCAGGAAAGAGTTTGGAACTTATATTTATTGAGACTGACTGCATTACCAGGCACTTTATAGACATTTCCTCATTGAAGTGTTCCCATAACTTTATAAGATAGACCCATTCTCTCCATTTTAAAGATGAGGAAACTGGAGCCAAGAAAGGTGATACTGCCTGCTTAAGGTTATAAGTAAATGGTGGAACCAAGAGTCTGTATAATTCAAAAACCACCTTTTCATTGCTCCACAGGTCATCAAGAGCCATTCCCCCCTCTCAAAAACCAACCTTACAAGGCAATTTTAGTTGATATTCCCAGGTACTTTCCCTTAAATCTGTTATCTCTAATCAGGTATGAGAAACCAGGAGATGAAGGTAATATCAGAGATGGAGCTACTCGAGATTTTTTAATTTCATCAATTATTAAGTTATTGATTTATTCAATAAAAATATTTATTGAGTACCCTACTGTGTAAGTATTGAAGCAATAATACCATTGATTTTACTGATATGTAAGAGCAACAGCAGGACACTGTGTAAAAGGTTAGTTTGGGGAGCAGAATACACAAGTCTTTTGGGAGAAAGATGAGTTTAATTTTAGCTATTCTGAGTTTGTGAAAAACCAGCAGGAATTGTCTGGAGGCAGCAGACCTAGTAGCCATCTAATTTTTATCTGCTTAGATACCATTCCCCATTCCATTTTCTTTTAAACAATACTATTTCCCTTCTCATGCCTCATTCCCTCATTATTGACTAGAGTAAGTATATGACCTAGGCCTAGCCAATCAGAATAGGCACCTCTACAGTGATTGGTTCAGGGACAGGCATATGATCAGTGCCAGGTCAATTAGGTTCAATCTTTGTTTTTTTGCTGTAACTATTGGAAAAGCTGTCTTTCTATTTAGGTTACTAAGGTAATAAGATGTAAGCCTGTTGTTGCTGGGGGCAACTTGTCCTGACAAAATGGGAAGCTTTCTGAAGAAGAAGCCCATAAAAAGGAAAACAAAGCAAAAAATGGAGTAAAGCCCATTCCGTTTTAGGCACTTCCATGCAGCTATGACTAAAGCCCCATACCCCTGAACTTTTCAGTTATGCTACCTAGTAAAATTCTCTTTTTAGATGTAGATCAATTTTAGCCGAGTTTATGACAAAAGAACCCTGAATAGAGTTGACTTGACAAATCTAGAGCTAAGGAGAGAGAACTTGGCTGGAGACTGAGGTCCTTTCTGGCTTGCTTATTTCCTGAAGGGGAGAATCACTAAAGATTGTTGAACCCTCTCCAGGAGTGACATGATCAGAAGTGCAGGGTGGGCCAGGCCGGCATGGCTCAGTGGTTGAGTGTTGACCTATGAACCAAGAGGTTATGGTTCGATTCCCTGTCAGGGCACATGCCCAGGTTGCGGGCTTGATCGCCAGTGGGGGGCATGTAGGAGGCAGCCGATCTATGATTCTCTCTCATCATTGATGTTTCCATCTCTCCCTCTCCCTTTCTCTCTAGAATCAATAAAAAAATAACATATATATGTATATATAAGTATGTATATGAAGTGCATGGATTGGGATTGGGTGGGAGGCAGGAGGCAGGCAGAAGAGCTGTAAGCCTATGGGTAATACAGATAAGAAAGAATAATGGCTTAGTCTACAGTGGTGATGACAGGAATGGTGTGATGGAATTTGAAAGATACTTAGGAGGGGGACAAAGAGCATTTGATCACCATTTGGAAGTAAGAAGAAGAGGGGGGATGATGGGTAGCTCCTGAGCTTCTACCTTGGAGACTGGATGAAAGGCAGTATTATTCATTGAGAATGACATTGGGAGAAGAGCAGGTATATGGGGAAGAGATGATGAGTTCAGCATAGAACATGCTGAAGGTGAGGTACTTGCAGGACATCTGGAAGCGAATGCCTGGAATAGAGAGGAACACCTGGGCCTGGAGCTCAGAAGAGAGGAAAGACAGTATTACTCCAAACTTGGAGTGGTTATCCCCTAGCTCTGTGTTCTTTTAAAAAATATGTATTTATTGATTTCAGAGAGGAAGGAAGAGAGAGTTAGAAACATCAATGATGAGAGAGAATCATTGATCATCTGCCTCCTGCACACCCCACAGTGGAGATCAAGCCCACAACCGAGGTATGTGCCCTGACCAGGAATTGAATTGTGACCTCCTGATTCATTGATCAACACTCAATCACTGAGCCACGTTGGCTGGGCACCTAGCTCTGTTTGCCACAGGATTTGCTGTGGGGTGCCTAACACTTGATTCTAGGGTGTGGCAGGCTAGAGGCTAGCCGGGCAAACCATGGTTCTGGATAAGAGGATTGGGCAATGCCACAAGGTAGCACTACCAGGTTGAGAACATAGGAGGCCACGTTAGCCAGCAGGCTGGTCCAGCTGTGCCAAAGGAGGCTTGGGCTTTGAAGCAGTGCTTGGAGACATGGCATTGAAAAGACCACACAGGTATGATGGCAAGTTCCTTGGAACCTTAGTGCACAACCTTGGCATAAGGTATAGGTTCCCAGCAACTCAAGTGACTGGGTTCTCGCCTGGATTTTTGTACAGATTAGGGCAGAGTCTGTATTAACTCACCATGGTACTCCCTGAGTTTTGAGAACTCCCTCTGCTGCCATTCTTTCATCCTGAGATCTTCTTTCTCATTCATTTATTCATTCAACAATGTTTATTGAATGCTTAGCACTGGGTTGAATGGTGAACAAAACAGTCATGACCCCACCCTCAAAGGGTTTACAGACATTGAGTAATTATTTGATCACACAAATAAATAACACAGGTTTTGATAAATGCATTTATATGGGGCCAGGAGAAAACAGGCGTTTCCAATCACTAGGTTGGGAGAGATAGGCATTCCCAGTTGAGCTGGAAGGGGAAGTCAAGGGTAGGTGTGCCCATTGTCACACAGTGAATCAGGGCAATGCGGGGACAGAACTGGCATTCCTGACCCTGAGTAATGGACCTGGTTCAGACTGGTATCTACCAGGACACATCTTCCCACCCCTCTTCCTGCTACCTCCTGATTACAGGGCTACCCCCTCTGGGAAAAAAAAAAAGTTTTAATTTGCAGCTTTGACTTTTGATGCCCATAAGGTTTCCTATTGTCACCTCACACCCCCTCCAGGTGGGGTACAGTCTATTCAGGTTGGCAGGGGCTGGTGGTCAGGGCCAGATAACCAAAAAGTTGTGGAAGGGGAAAGAATTTGGGGCTGTCAGACTGGGAGTAACTATAGAAGGGCCAGGCTAGTGAGGGCTGAACCAGAGAAGCAGGGTCTGCCAGGTTGGTAAGGGATAGGACTCAAGTGCAGGCACTGGGAGGAAGAGAGAGTGAAGCAGAAGGATGCTCTAATGCCAGGAAGTGACGTTGAGGGAAAGAGGGATGGGGGATGGAGGATGAAGAATAGAGCTGGGCCACATGGAAAGCAGAGAGAGAGAGAGAGAGCCCTAGGGAAGAAATGCTCAGAGAGCTTTTGGCCCTCAGGTCTCCCCCAAGCACGGTCTCCTCCCTCCCTACTCCCACCCCTGCAGTCTCTGCAGAGGGCTGAAGAGAACACAGTAAAATGCTGGAGCCTGCTTCCATGGTACCTTACTAACATCCCGGCCTGATCCATGGCTCTGGTAGGGGTGAGGTAAACCACAGGGCAGCAAAGGCACTCTGGTCCCCAAGGACTCTGAGAGGTCATTCAGTTCATCCCCCTGGATCCCACCACCCAGCACATACAGACAGGCAGCATCACATTCTCTTTATCTCTCCCTGGACACGAAGAGATTCCCAGCTTCTCCCCCACGGTCACTCCCTCCCACCATCCCTGGCTGTAGGGAAGTTCTTAAGACCTAGCCTCTCTATTCATCCTACTGCAACCTCCAACTTGGTTTCTGCTATCCTGTTCTCTGTGACTAGAGAAAAGCCTCTTCTGGGTGATCACAGCTGTGCCTCAGGATCTCCCCTCCAACATTCCTTCCTGATCAGTTGGTTCTTCCCAAAAGGTAACCCCCACCCCTCCTACTGCAGTCTCTGGCATCATTCTCCCTTGTCGCATCCTAGGACTCCAAGGCAGAGATGCACTCCCAACCCCATCAGATAATTAACAGGAATAAAAAGGAGAAGAGAAAGATCCAGGAGGAAGGGAATGAATTCGGGTGATGGAGGCTGGAGGTGATGCTCCGTGCAGATGGAGGACCAGGGGCATCCCAGGGGGCAGGGACGGGGGTGGGGGTGGGGGGGGCAGCGGGCCTCACCTGTATCGGGGTCTCCCAAGAAGGCATCCTCGTCCTTGCGGCCCCTCAGAGGGGCCGCGGGAGCCGGCTCATCCTCCGGCAGCCGCGGAAAGCTGGTGATGCTCATGTAGTCCACGGGCGAGTAGGCGCCCAGGGCGCTCTCCTGACTGGCCTGGTTCTCCGCCGCCATCCTCACCCGCGCCCCCCAGCAGCGCAGCGCCTGCCGGAAGTGGTGCGGCGGGGGCCGGGGTGGGTGGCTGGGAGGGAGGGGCCTGCGCTCCCGGGCCGCCGGGAGGGGGCGCCTCACCCACACCCTAGCGCTTGTCGGGGTCTGACTAGCTCCCGCCGGGCTCAGCGCAGGTGGAGATGGGATTATGTTTGCAGAGTCGGAGGGCAATGCCGGGTCGCGAAGTGGGAGATCGTGGAGAAGAGCACGTTACAAGCGCGACCTTAGTGATTCAGGGCCTTATGCAGCCGGGGGCCAAATCCCCTCTTCCAGTTGGAGATAGAATCCTCCTCAGGCCCCAGACTCTTCCATTGGCCGTAAACCTCTCCTCGACCCCGGTTCTTCCTCCGATCCCAGACCCCTCTGGTCCCAGACCCCTTCTTGGATTCCAAGATCCTTTTCCTCCGATCTCGGACTCCTCCGACCCCAGATTCCTCTTTCGACCTGACCCCCTGCCCCTGGCCCCCTCCAGCACCTGCTCCATCCTCAGACTGCGCTCCTCCTTTGGACGTCCCTTCTCAGACGTCAGATCCCTCACTGCCCCGCCCCCCCCCACTTCTCAGACTCCTCTTTCAAGCCCAACCCCTTCTGGTACCCCTGACCTAAACCCAGTGTGTCTTAGGATCCCTACGAGCAATCGCCCAGATTCCACTCTAGAGAGCATGGTTTAGGACTCTGGGATGGGGTCTCTGGAACCTGAATAGTTACCATCATTTTAAGAGTTTTTTTTTGATGTGGTTCTGGAAAGGACTCTTTAAGAAAGGAACAATGGGCATGACGGTGTGGCAGGAGTGGGGTTGGGGGGGGGGAGTGGGGAGTGGGTCTCTGTAGTCTAGGTGTCTGTTCGATTTCCTGTGCTACCACTTACATACTGTGTGATCTTGGGTAAGACACTTCATCTTCTTTAGTGTCCGTTTCCTCATCTGACAACTGGAGAGATTAATAGTATCCGTCTCGGGGGGTTGTTGTGAGGACTAAGCAACAGGTAGAAAGCTTTTAGTGTAGGTCTTGGACCTACTCAATAAATGTCATTATTAACATTATTTTCATGTCTTTAACCTTGTGGATTCTCATCTCATCCAACCTTACCCATCCTCTTCCCACGCTTAGGAATTCCAACTACACTATGGCTTGCACTACTTCCCCATCTCCAAGGATGAGGGGTTCGCTCTTTATTAGGCTTCTTGTCCAAACTCTCTTCATACAGTTCAGAGGGAGGGAGAGGGAGGGGACTGGTCAAGCCCCTGGGCATACATCCCCTCTTTCACTCCAGGGCAGTTTGAAAAGCTACAAGGGCGGTAGGGGTGGAGTGGGTGGGGTGGGGAATCTATTATGGGCCCAGAACATGCATTGATACCTGTCGACAGGAGAGGGCAGTAATGGGCTGGGAACAGCTCTAGGACTTGGGAGAAGGTTTGGGGAGAGGGAAGAGAAAGAGGGCTGCCCAAAGCTGTGACTGTCTATACCTGGGACTGTGTGCCCATTGCTTGTGCCTTTCTCCCCCCAGAGAGGCTAGTATCTTCTCAGTGAAGTCCATAGGGCTTATTACGCTTCAGTAAAGTATTATCCCCCCAGTAGGGCATGTCTTAACTAAATGAGGTCTGTGTCCCGTCATTGATGTCCATTCCCTCAGTGGGGTGTGAGTCCCCCTAGTGGGGTCAACATATTTTTAGTAAAATCTATATCTTTGGTATCTCCTAGAGCAGTGATGGCGAACCTATGACACGTGTGTCAGAGGTGACACGCGAACTCATTTCTTTGGTTGATTTTTCTTTGTTAAATGGCATTTAAATATATAAAATAAATATCAAAAATATAAGTCTTTGTTTTACTATGGTTTCAAATATCAAAAAATTTCTATATGTGACACGGCACCAGAGTTAAGTTAGGGTTTTTCAAAAAGCTGACACGCCGAGCTCAAAAGGTTCGCCATCACTGCCCTAGAGGGAAACCCATGTCCCCCCAGTAGGGTCTGTGACCTTCAACACCATTAAAGTCCTATTAGCAGGGTCCATAGCCCTTCAGTGAGATCTGAGACCCCTCAGCAAGATCTGTGCTCCCTTAGTGGAGTCCATGTACCTTCAGTGAAGTGTGTGCCTGTTGAGTGTAATGTCTCTTCGATAAAGCATCTGTCTTCTCTGTGGGGTCCATGCGATCTGAGACCCTCCCTTCAGGATTGGGTAGGCTCTGGATCATAGGTTTGAACGTGGAAGTATTATTTTCAGTTTAAGATGTGCTGGGCTTGTGGTTAGCTGGGCAAAGAACAAGGGAACAGGTGGGAAAGGGGGATGGGCCTGATGTGGTCACAAACCCTGTGTAGGCTTCAGGAGATGGGGGTTGTCAGCTCTGGGCCTCAAAATCACTCTTGGAGTTAAATATTTAAGGTTCCTCCTTGCCTTGACAGACATTCTGTGAACTGACAGGTGGTGTGGGCTTTTCTTGGTGGTGAGTGCAGGTGGGAGATGGAGGGTCCCGCCTGGCCCCTCCTTTCTGGAGTGGAACAGCTAGAGGTCAGCCAGAGGTAATTGAGCCCAGGTGCGGCAGGTGGGCGTGGTCTCTTGGTAAAGTAAAGAGACTGGGAAGGGAAGAAGGATATGAGTAATTTCTCCTATTTGCATAGCCTTTGGTACAGTATTTCACAAGCCTTAGCTTGTGAGGAGATAAAAAGACTTGGAGTCAAGAAACTTAGGTTTGGCCCTAATTTGGTCGTTGTTTTGCTCTGGGACCTTGCACACATTCCTTTCTCTGAATATACCGTTTGTGCAATGAGGAGGTAGGTATATTAGCAAAGACCTGGACACACCTCCTAATCTTCAATGAATCTTGTACTTTAGAGCTGGATGGGAATTTGTGGAGCCAGGGAGAGTGAAGGTATAATCTCGGTGGGGGGGCGGGGGGAAGGAGAGAGAAAATCTGAGCTAGCACAAACGTTAACAGAGAGGCGCCATGCCCTAGACGTCGTGGGAGGATTTTTTTTTTTTTTTTTTTTTTTTCCTGAGGATGGAGGGGAAGAGTTTACTCAGAGTGGAGGGATAGTGCTTTGAGGGAAAGTGATCCCAGAAGACACCCAGAAAAAAACCCTACTCCGCTTGGCTTTTCAACTCTGTGGGTGACAGGCTTGTGCAATCAGACCACGGGGAGACTCCACCTTGGACTTGACCCACCCCCTCTCGTTAGCCACGCTCTTTCGCGTTCAAGCCCCGCCTTAACCCAACCTGTCATCTGTCAGTCCCAAACCCCACCCCATCCTGGTCACTTCATGGGCCCGCCTCCTTCCCTGTCACGCCTGCCCCCCTGCCGCCTCTGTCAATACAGGATCCACCGCCCTCTCCTGCCACACCCGGCCCCGCCCCTTCTACTTCATGCTACGGTCCCACCCCTCCTGCGAGTCAGCTCCTCTCCTCCCCTAGCACCTGAGCAGCGCTCGCCTTTCCCCTGCTCGTGCCTTTGCTAACCCTGGTCCCGCTCCCAGAAGGCACGGTTCCGGCCCTCGGGGCAGCCACGCCCCGTCTGCCCAAGCCCCGCCCACCCTCCAGGCCCCGCCCTCTTTCCTAAGGCCCCACCCCGGGCGGCCTGTTTTTCGCCCCCGAGCTCCCCCAACTACCGCAAAGACGGTTACAGCGCTCGGAACTAGGCGCGATGGGGCTTCCTGAGGAGCGGGGCCGGAGCGGCAGTGGCAGCGGGGGCCGGGAGGAGGCTGGCGCGCGGAGCCGGGCGCGGAGTTGGTCGCCGCCGCCCGAGCTCAGCCGCTCCGCGCACGTCTCCTCGCTGCAGCGCTACCGCGAGCTGCACCGAGTCTCCGTGGAGGAGCCGCGAGGTGAGGCCGGGCCCGCGCGCGCTTGGGGGCGTCGGCGAGGAGAGGAATGGGCTCCCCGGGCAGTGAGGAATCGGGCGGGTTCCGTGGGGGAGTGGGGGTTCCGAGAGGAGGTCGGGGTTGCCTAGGGGAGTTGGGGACCCCCTTGGGAAGTTGAGGGGTCCGTGAGGAGACGCAGGTTCTGTGAGGAAGAGTTGCGGAAGACGCAGGTTCTGTGAGGAAGAGATGGACGAAGGGTTCGCGGGGGAGACGGGGATTCGGGGAGAAGGAGCGTTCTGTTCTGTGGGGAGATGCGGGCTCCCTAGGAGCTGAGGACTGTCCTGGCGACGTGGGGGTTTCCCGAGATGTGGTTTCCGTGAGGGAATGGGGGTTCTGTGAGGAGGGTGAAAGCTTCATGAGAAGAGGAAGACTCCTCAGGTGGAAAGAGGGGTTCCCGAGGCGAGGGGCACCTTGCGGAGAGGAGGCCCCAGGAGGACATTCCTGGCCCGCCCGGTTCACACCAGCTCGGCCCCTGCCTCCTGACGCCCGGAACACGCGGGGTAGTGTCCACGGCTGAGGGGCCGGAACCGGTCTGATTCCCGTGCTGGGGTTCCCACGGTTAGTAATTAAGTCTCAGGACTATTTTTCATATTTCAGAAATATTTAAATTATCCAACATAAGACTGAACAAGTCACATTTCAGTCAAGTTTTTTTTTCCCCCTAGCGAGCTGGGCTGGAAATAACTCAGAAACTCTGATAGGTGCATGTCTTGAAGACTGTGAGCGAAGTTCCCTGCCTTTGCCCCTCAGTCTGAGGAAGGGATCAAAACTGTTGAAGGCAGCATGATGTTTGGCAGTGGCACAAGCCAGACATCCAACCCAGAAAAATCTGGATTTAGATTCTGGCTGTACCACTCATTTACTGGGTGGTCTTGGGCAGATTTTTTAAAATATATATTTTATTGATTTTTTTTACAGAGAGGAAGGGAGAAGGATAGAGAGTTAGAAACATCGATGAGAGAGAAACATCGATCATCTGCCTCCTGCACACCACCCACTGGGGATGTGCCAGCAACCAAGGTACATGCCCTTGGCCGGAATTGAACCTGGGACCCTCGAGTGCGCAGGCCGACACTCTATCCACTGAGCCAAACCGTGTAGGGCTTGGGCAGATTTTTTAAATGTATATAGCAAAGGTGGAAATTTTTTGAGAAACAAGCACAGACT